GCTTACGTTTTATTAGGGATGAATCAGTTTTGGAACTGAAGTTATTTGCCAAGCTGAAGTCATAGGTTGTGAAATACTTTTTAACTTCTGGAATCATATTGCCTACTGTTACTCTAAATAGAAACATAAGGGTTTTTTTTTTTTTAAATGTGAATTTTTGCCTATCCTTAAAAATTTTGATGTCAACTTTATCTAACCTTAAATACACTGAATGAAATCTACAAAAGTGAGACATCTCAGACCTTTCTTGATGCTACAGCTTTTGTTTTCCAGTGGCCAAAAATACCAAAATGTCTGTTGTATTTATGGATTAAAAACTGTTAATGAAGCCTTTGTTATTACTCCTCCTCTTGAAGATGATAATATTCTCTGTGGCCAAGTATTTGGACCCATTCTGGACTTAGGCATTTCACTGTAGTTTCTTAATTTAATGCTTTTCACACTCTTGCTAATGGTAAGAATGAGTAATTTCTGTCTGTCTTCATTTTCAAGTATTTCTGGTTAAGGGATTCAAAAAAAGTAAAACTTTTTGTTTGATATGATATAAAATGTGGAATTGATCTTTCCAGAGTCAGAGAGGATTAATGTTTTTGGTATATACTTTTATACATTATTTTCTTATCAAACTAGTTAACAAGTATTTTTATATGTTTGTAAGCAAATGTGCTTTCACAGCATACCCTGTGTATATGTAAAAATAAGTATTTAATTCTCACTGTTCACTTTTAACTGACAAAGAAAAAATGGAAACTGCAGAAACTGTGGTAGAAGTTTGACTTGCCAGTCTGGTCCTGGTTGTGTCCACCTTCAGCCAGTCGCGTCCCTACTCGAGAAACCTTCCCCTTAGAGAGTGGCAGGACAAGACTGCGTCGCTGTCAGGACCCCCCACTAGGTATTGACTGCTGTGTCAAGTATTATGTGTAAAACCTTTGATTGACAATTTAGTATAATTGTGGATGGTTTCTGATTTTGTTTTTAATTCTGTGGATTGTGTTTAAACAATTCAAAAGTATATTTCTGATGAAGAGATACTAAGTGCTGTCGCATAGTTGTCACTTTATTGAATGTGTACAACAGTCCCATGAAGTTTATAATGCCGACCTTGTATAGCTTCAGGTGCTAGAATTAAAATTCATCTGTTATCACAAGGTGATGCTTGATTAGTCATTTTGTTATTTTAGTGGTTTTATGAGAGAATATTAGAAGAAACTTATTTTAGTAGCTATGCCCTTTCTCAACAGTATCTTAGGGTTCTAGTCTAAAAGTCAAACTGATCATTCAGAGGTGAATTTGATATGAAACATTCTTAGTGGTTTTTTTTTAAAGACAGGGTTTCATTTGTAGTTCAGCCTGGCCTTGAACTGACTATGTAGCCCAGGCTGGCCTCGAACTCATGGCTGTCCTCCTGCCTCAGCCTTCCATGTGCTGGAATTACAAGTGTGTGCCAACATGCCTGGCTCTTAGTGATTTTTTGAAATCAGTTTCTTAAACATTTTTTTTAATGAAGTAATACTAACGGAGGATCCCAGCTGTAAAGGAGGGGGCAGGCAGGTGGAAAAAAAAATAATATCCCTCTGAGGATGAAGCCTAGAACATCTGAAGCAAAGGAGAAAATTAATTTATTTGTATACTAATAAAATTATTTAATTTTACATTGTACTTTATAATATAATCGTGTTAATATAGAACTATCTTCCAAGTCTTCAGATAAAATTATTGCCCAGGAAGATACCCAATTTTATATACTGTGTCTTACTCCTTTCAAATAGCCCTTCTAAACCTGATTCCCAGAGAGCTGAGCTCTGATGCTTTGTATGTGGAGTGTTGTGGGTTAACTTCTCACCTCCGTGTCTAGAATGGTACTGGCTGCGTTCGGTCTTTGGGACAAGTGATTGTCACTCCAACTGGAATTCATTCTCTCACAGGCCCCAGTTGAGACACGTGTTCTGAACATTTGAACATAGTTATAATACTTGTTTTAATGGCTTTGCCGATCCCGTCATCTCTGTTTTTTGGATTCATTTCTGCTGATTGGCTTTTCTCTAGATATAGGTCATACTTTCCTGTTTTTTATACATCTAATAGGGTTTGGTTGGATGAGGGCATTGTGTACTATAATGTTGGATGTCTGTATTGTCTTCATCTGAAGGTTTTGGGGGTTGTAGAAGTCAGTTAATTTGCTTGCGGTTCAGTTTGCTCCTTTTTAAGTTTTGTTTTTAAATTTAGTGCACTCTCAAATAGCCTTTTTCCCCAGATTGCTTTAGCTCAGCAACAAAAGCATAGCCCTGGTGGGGACTCATCTGAATACTCTGAGGGATCAGTGTGGAGCCTGCAGTTTGCAGGAACTCAGACAGTTCCCAGCCCCACATGAGCTGTGGGGACTGTCAGGTTCACAATTCCCAGGTCATTCTTGGACCAACCTCTAGAAGGTCACCCTCTGCACACCGGTATGTAGCTTAATATTTTGCAGAGATGCATTGACCCTGTGCACATTTTGGTGGCTCTGTTTCTATGAAGTCCTCTCCCTTCAGAATCCTGCCTTGCTCCTTCAGTTCCTCGGCCTTCCTGAGCTCCAGGGTCCATCTTCTTGGTTTTAGGGGGAAGGGTTTGTTCCCTGACTGGAATCATACATTCTTTCTATGATGCAGAATGTGCCTCTAGGTAGACAGCCAGTGAGATCTTAAGGCTTACTTTGTTTCTCTTCTGTTAGGAGACTGTAGTCCAGTGCTCCTTGGTGTACATTGTCTAAAAACAATGTTGTTTCATATATTAGTCTATCTTGATTATCTATTTATTTGACAAGGTTTGGCTGCGCTCCCCAGGCTGGCCTTTGGAGATTCTCTTGCCTTCAGCCTCCTGTGTACCTAAGACTGTAGCACACATCACCATACCTGGCCTATTCCAATTTTTTAAAATTATCTAACTGGGGGGGTAAATCTGGTTCATACTGTATCATGATTAGAATTTGAAGTCTCCCATTTGATTTCTATCATATAGTCATAGGTGCGTTATAATCCCCTTAATTTCTGACATGAAAACTTTTTGTACAGAGTTGCCTGTCTAATTGTATGAATACTGTAGTCTATATCTGTGTGGCTATTTTTTTTTTTTTCCTTCTATAGCTGGGTGTTGGCAAACTTTCTGTAAAGAGCTAATTACAGAATTACAGATCTTGGGCATTGCCAGCCATATGGTCTGTATCTCAACTACTCAGCTCCACCATTCTAGCACTGAAACAGCCATAAACAGTATATAAATAAATGCATGAAGGTGGCTGTGTTCCAGTAAAACCTTGTGTATACTAAAGTTTGTTTCATATCATTGTTGTATGTTATGCGATATTACTCTTTTGTATTTGTTTCCTGTCCATTTAAAATTACAGAGACCATTCTGTATGAAAACAGGTGCTGGGATGGATTTGACGCAGGGCCTTGGTTTACCAACCCAGTCTATAGCAGCTTCAGCACTTGAGGTTTCTTTCCCAACTTTAGAATCTCTTATGCTTCTTGTGGAAATTCAAACAGAATTTTCTGAAAGGAAAGTCATGCATTTTTGTCCTAGGAATTTTCTCTCTATATTGCATGTTTATAGAGATTTACAGTGTTTCAGAGTTAGACCTTATGCCCTAATCAATACATATGTTACTTTGATTATTTGCTAAATTTGTGGCTTCCAAGTTTTATAATATAAATTGGTTCCTTACCTTGTCCTTTGATTTTTAGAATTTGATGCTTGTTCTTCTTTTAACCTTTCACCGCGGCGCCCCCCCCCCCCCCCCATTTTCTTTCTTTTCTCATTGCTATGAATTTCGATCCCCTGGACAGGTGACGGGCAGGAATGGGAGGAGGAAATGATCGACAGTCATTTTCAAACTCTTACTACTTGTCTGCCTAAGGGTATTTACTAAGTCTGCTTCTAAGTTTCAAAGTATTTTTTTAAGCCAAAAAAAAAAAATACATTTTTAAAAATTCAAAATATGTGACTGAGCAGATTTCTTTGTGCAGGACTATATGAGGTGCTCTGAGGGAACGGATAAATGTGGGACTTCTTCAGATTACTCGGAGTCTAGCGGAGGAAGATTAAGGGTGATACAAGTGTTGGAGTTAAGTTAGGGTTCAGGGCCCCACATTTCAAGGCAAGTATGGGAAACCTACAGAAAGTGGTGTCAGGGCCCACTGATAGGAGGGATCTGTTGTTCTGAGAAAGTCTTCGTTAAAAGTGGTGTTTCAGCTGGAGCCTGACCTATGGAAGAATTTGAGATGGGCAGAAGAGAAGGGTGAGATGTAGTGGAGAGGCCGAGAAAAACTGGGCAGGGGCACTCTGTTGGCACAGTACAGGGTGTGTGCTGGTGTTAGAGCCTCTGTCTGAAAAGATTGTGATGATCAAGTGGACTGGGATCGGGGCTTTTTAAATAGGATGGCCCTCTGTACATAGGGGAAAACTACCAAGGGTTTTGAATAGGAGGTGCCCAGATCTAATCTAGTGGTAGTTGGAATGGCAGAGAAGTGCGGCCTTGAGAGGGTCAGATTTGAATCATGGACTCTGTCCTTTCACCGTCGTAAACTCTTTGAGGACAGAACCATGCCCTTTGTGTTTACTGCCTTCCCACATTGCCTGGCGTGTGCAGAAAATCACAGAAAAAGGTGATGAAGGCCTGAACTGTAGTAATGTGGGGAGAAAGGGACTGAATATTAAGTAATCTAAGAAATTTTTGGCACTTTGAAGTATTGAGCAAAAAGGTAGTGGTGCTATTAGTTAAAATAAGAAGCATAGAGCTGGGGATTTAGCTCTGGTTTCACCGACTGCTGCGCAAGCTCAAGGACCCGAGTTTGATCCCCGGTACCAAAAAAAAAAGCATAGGCAACTCTAATGATAGGGATATATGACATTTGTAGCCATGTCTGATGCACATGCCTGAAAACCCAACAATCCAGAGGCTGAGGCAGGAGGATCGTCTCATAGTTTAAGGCCAGCCTGTACTACAGAGCAGCCTCCTGTCTGAAAAAGAAGAAAAGATACTTGTGGCAGTCATAGTATAAGGCTAAGCAGGAGGCATTTGGGAATGGGGTTAGAGCTCAAAAGAAGAGGTTGGGACTAGACATGAAGACTTGGAATTTATCTGTTTCGAACTAGTGATTGAAGAGAGAGAAGTGCATGACACCCGCTAGAAGGAAACGGAGAGGAGGTCCAAGGGTAAAACTTTTGGAGAAAAACATTTGTGGGGGAAGAAGATAAGATTAAGAAGCAGTAAAAAGTCAAGAGAAGTAGCCAGAAATTGGAGAGAACAATTCCTTGACATACAGGAAACCAGGAGTGGTAAAAAGCTTTGGGTGCTGTGTAGAGAAAGGGGTAGGAGGAGACAGGGAGTGAGACGCACAGTGATTTCTTACAGGTTGCTGCTGCCTTCCTTAGATTTGTCTCAGGCATCTGGTTGTGGAAGCCAGATAAGAGTGAGTTGTGATGTGATTGGAGGGCGAGGAAGTGGAGGAAGTAACTGTGGTAAGTTACTGTATTGAGAAAGTCTGTGGCAAAATCGGCGTGTTGGGGCACTAACTTGCTTTGGAGGGCAGGTATTTAAGAAGTAGGGCAGTGGTCGATCGGGGTGTGAGGTCTTTATTCTTAGGCGTATAGGCACCCAAATCTGGATCTAGGTACTGCCATCTGGATAGGTCAGCCTCAGAGATTTGAAAGCCTGAGCTGTGATGGCGAACCTTTTAGAGCTTTCAATGATACAGCCTGTCTGCTGGGGCAAACGTGCCATAGGTTTGCCACCCCTGGCCTCAGGATGGCGGGCAGGCATCCTCTCTGACACTTCTCGGAATGTCTGTGTAAAGGCCCAGTTTTAAAACATTGGAATCATCAGCGTTGTGGACTGATACTTTCTCTGTGAGTAATGAAAGTGAATTAACTAGGAAAGTCATTCTCTTGTTTATTGTGGCAGTGTCACATTACTGTAGAAGTTCACTTTGAGTAGCACTAGTGTAGTGAGGGAGGGAGGGAGGAAAAGGTTCAGGCATGTTTCAGAAGTGGCCCTTATGACTTCTAGATAGGAAGGTAAGCAAAGCTGGGAAAAAACACGGACTCCTGTTACAAATTCCAAATGTTGTAAAGGAGTCAGGAATTTTGAAAAAGATGTTTGCTTTTCTTCTTCTGTTAATACATAAAAATTATTTGAGGTAAAGGAAAATTGTTGAAGCATGTAACTGCTTGAAATACGAGAATCATTACCAATCAGTATGCTAAAGACACGAATATTTAGAGCAATATGAGAAAATGTAAATGAGTGCTATCTTAAGACATGAATGTTAAGTGAAAACACTCTGAAATTGCATTTTGCTCTGATAACTGTAAAAGTATGCATGCTTATTTATTTGTCATGACATTTTGGGCTATAAGTGACTAAAATGCAACTCAAACCAGCTTCATCACAAAGTGGGCATTTACTGGTTTCTGAAGAAGTGAAGAGATGGGTGGTGTGGAGTGGCTTTCCGTCCTGTGACAGAATACCATGACTCAAGGTGAGGATTGACTCAGTTATGCAGGGGGCTGTATGGGTGTGTGTGTGTATACTCTGTAGTCTGAGAAAGCTTGTGTCTGTCCGGGGACTTTTAGCTCAGTGGTTTCGCCGCCTGCTCCGAAAGTGCAAGGACCCGAGTTCGATCCCCAGTACCAAAAAAAAAAAAAAAGGTCAGATAACTGGCTTTGTCTCACAGCAGCTTGAACCTAGGGGCGGCAGGCTCAACCATTATCCTGCCTGTGCTTCTCCCCCCAGCTGAGTGGAGTGCCTTTGGGCGCCTAAAGCAGGGCTGCCATTACTCAAATGCGACATTTTAGTGTAGATCTTTTACTTTCAGTTTCAAAGGATTTAAATAGAAGAATTAGCTACATGCTAATTAGCATTCAGCTGCTATTTTTGTTTTTGCATCTCAGTCATTTTCAGAGGGGGTTATTTTCATTCATTCTCCCTACTTGGGCAATATGAAGAGCAAAATGAATCATTCTATTAAAATTAATAGCACCAAATAGCAAAATAGTGGAAATGACTGTCTTCCTTGATTCTGTGTTGTGGTTAGGGAATAAACATTTATAGTTTAGTGCTATTTAGAAAAATGTCACTTTCTTTAGAATATAAATGTTTAACTCCTTTGTTGCTGAATTCTATGTAATGGAATTTTCAAAGTTGGGCTCTTTTATTCCAGTTCAGGTTCCATCATAAATGGTTCTGTGAGGCCATTTTGCAGTTCTTTGAATTTTCTGGTTTTTAAAAAATTTATTTTTATTTATTGCCTGAAACATATAGGCTAAACAGAAATAGGTTACAGAGATAATTTTACATGAAGCGTTTTTTGTGACTTGACAATTCAGCCATGGACTTGATGTGCACTAAATTTCTGAAGAATTGTAGTCATGTGAGAATATGTAATACACCCTTACTTTCTGGATGGAGTATGTAGGCTTTGAGTATAAAACATGTTCAGTATACAAAGTTGAAATGAAGAAAACAGTACAGATTCTTTTTAATTTTTGTCATTTCTGGGTCTAGAGAAGCCCAGGTTTTATTCTCATTTGCTACAACAGATTTTCTTCAAATAAAATGCATTGGCAAGATGACAGGTAAGTGTCTGGGAAATATACCTCTGAACTTTTGTTATCTTAAAATATCAGTGTAAACTAGATTATAACTGGTTTGACATTGACAAAATATGTACAGTTATAGGCTATTCTTTGGTAGTTTTTGTGATCTTTCAATTTTTTCAAGTGGAAGTCCAAACAAATTGCATTTTTGTAGTAAAAAGTCTTTATTTCCAAAATGATTGGTTAGCCAGAAAAACAAGAAACCACCTAACACAAGACTTTGGTAAGAAAGAGATTTGACACTTAGAATTCCCCATTGCAAACAAAAACACTCTAGTGATAAGAAGCATGTTACCCAGTCTTAGCCATTAACCAGTTACGTGGTTTTAAGTCTCCAAAATCAGAATTTAAAATGTACTTAACAGGGACCAGATATGAACATGAGACACTAGCATGGGTTTAAGAGTTACTTAGGAATCACCATATTAAGGAACTTAGATATTCATGGATTGAGAGTGAGTATGCATCAAGATAGCTTTAGAGGATGGGGCTGAGGATTTAGCTCAGTAGTGCTGCCTCGCAAGCGCAAGGTCCTGAGTTCAATCCCTGGTACCAAAAAAAAAAAAAAAGCTTTAGAGGATGATGGAACAATGGGTAGATTATTTTTGTCACAAGTGGAAAATTAAACTCATTTCTTTATCTTATGCTTCTAGGGGGGTGATTTATTAAGGATTTAAAAAATTGGGAACAAAACTCCAGGTAGCTCAGGGATGTAGCAATGGCCCCTCCAGAATCTGGGGGACAAAGGCCATATATTTTACTGAAAGTAATTGAGGTGGAAACAGTTGTACAAAGGACCCAAACACCCGAACACTTACTAATTTAGCTTAAAAACACGAAAGACAGACCTAATGAGTTTTTTTTATTGAACAGTCTTCCTTGTGTTCAAGAAAATACATATTCAGGGCTATAGCATATACGTGTTGTTTTAGAAATATCCCCATCTGTTTAATGCAAATTCTTAAAGTAGTATATTCAAGGCATTGTATTCATCTCGCCCATGATACATATTTGGATTAAGCAGTAATAAAAAGGCCTGAAAAACAGTTTTAATGATGAATGCATGATGTTTTGACAGAGACTGCTGATGGGCTTAACTGAGAAAGATGGTACTAATAGTTGGTAGTCAGTCTCCCTGAATTTGGTGAGCTTCCAGTGGCTAGGATGGGGGTGGAAGCCCATGGCCTTCCCTACAGGTGTCTGTGAGGACCACAGCCCTGGTGCGGAAGGCTGACACAGGCTTGACTTCTCCCATGACTTCTTACTCAGCTTGATTCCACAGTATTCTTTTCTCCTAGATTTTGTCTTAGTCTCTGAAATACTTTTTCTCTAAATATAAAATATTATGACTAAAAATAACTTTTTAAGTACAGAGATAGTATTTTTTTTTTTTGAAGGAATGATGTTTGGGAGATTTTGGGCAGACTTAGCATTTGCTTGTTAGAAACTGATTTGAAAACTTAAAAGTCTGGATGTGTATGGAAGATTTTTAAAATTCAGGCTTGGAACCAGTAGGCCAATTTTGCTGCCTTGTTTCCAATAAGGATCTATTACTGAAAGGTAGGGTCATAAAGCTATGTTTCTAGGAGAATTACGGCACCAGAAAACAAAAACAAGGAAAAACTACTTTCTGCATTTACTTTCCCTTTATCTCTGGTGTAAGAACTGGTTACATTTAAATGAAACAGCCATCGTTTTTCTCCCTTTGGGGTTCCAGGAACCAGTATTAGGAGGTGAGATAAATGCATTCAGAATTTTTCAGTATAAGAATAAAAGCCATCCAGCATCCGTGCTTCTCTTGATCATTTCCCCCAAGAATGTAACGATGACTGAGGAGATGTAACAAGAGACCCGAAGTTCCATTAAGTGAAAAGAGATGGGCAAACAAGTTTTCTGCAAGAGTGACCTGGCCAAAGATGAGAGAGAAAGGAATGTGTTTTCTTCATCTGGTGGGTGTGTACCTGCTGCACCCTGGGGCCCAGGTACGCAGTCCTTTCCAGATGTGGTCGCCCGCCACGTGGATACTCCGAGGGACACACTTCAGTTTAGTACAAGATGGCTGACACTGCTTACTTCTATGCAGGAGGAGCGCTGGCTGAGGGTGAGGGATCCCTACTTGGCCGTGCCCACCAAGAAATATTCAGAAAGGATGTCCCTGGCATCCACAAGACTATGGGGCAAACCATACTGCAAAAATGGAAACTAGTGGACACAATTTAAGTTGTCTTAAACAAGCAAACCACTCAATCATTGGTGACTGTGGAATCTGGAATGAAGCCCTGGGGAACTTGTATCCCCGCTAACAAGGGTGAACGTTGCATGCTCTGATCTCCTTCTTGTCTTTGCAGCTGGTAAACTGGGAGCTTTTGAACCGCTTCTTTACAGTCATATAGCGTTCCTGAATCCCACCTCCACACAGTTTGGTGCATTCTGACCAGGTGGTCCATGGACGCATCTTACAGCCTGAAAATGGGAGAATGCCTGGTTAGGCCCATGGAATGGAAATGCTAGACTCCGGTAGAACTATCAGATTTATTTGGGTGTCTCTGCTTCTGTATGTAATGATTTGTTGAGTTAACTAATGGTTAGGGTCCTTACTAGGGACTGTTAACCCATATGGGATTGATTGCCTAAAAGAGGTCATTATTGCTTTACAGTTCTTTCTTTCAGGGACAGTGTTTTGTCACTGCTTTGGCCAGTAGGACTTGAGCAAAAACATGTTTGAGAAAAGCTTTTAGGAACTTCTGCACTAGCCTACGGGCAAGAGGCCCCAGAAATGCAGATGAGGTCCCTGGGCCCTACTAGCCCCAGTTGATTGTGGCCACATGAATGAGAACAAGCCCAGGCCCAACCTCAGAAGAATTGTCCAGCTGAGCTAGTGCGGGTCACTGAGCCTCGGGAGTATGTTAATAATTGATAGGTTTTTAAAGCAACTGTTTTGGGATAGCTTGAGATGCAGCACATACTCAGGGAGCACCAAACTTTCTTTTATGCCTGGTTGCCCAAATGCCCAAATACTTAGCCTCCCAAATTGTAAGTAAATTGAAGAGCAGTGTTTTATTTTTCCTACTCAGCATAAACATGACTTTCTCAAAAACAAAACCAAACAAAACTTCCTTGACCCCCAGAGTCTGGATCATTTCTTTGCATGTTTCTGTAGCACTCTTATCTATTCCTCCTTCAAACCCTACAGGTCTCTGCCTATGCATTAGATAGGTTTTACTGAGAAGGTCTGAGCCTGACCCATGGTTGGCTTTAATGAATGTTGAATGACTATGGGAGCAGCTCCCTAAGGAAAGGATGGTGAACTGTCCGTTGGGGAGCTTCTCACATCCTATCCATTTCTCTCGTCATTCTAGGTACAGGAGCAAAGACGAGGGAAGACAAGGAGTAATTTGAGCTATATTTTTAAAAATAATCAGAAACTTGACTAATTAACCTTCGCTTTTACATAGGTACCGTCCTCACCCCTGCACGGGATCCAGAAAACATCAGCCTGTGCCCAAGACTTAAGCCTGGTCCTCCTGGTGGATTGATTGTCTCCGTGGCTTGCTGTTGGTACTGCACTATTTCCTCAGGCCAGCTGATTTAGCAGTGCAGCCCCAGGCAGGGCGTATTGTTTTTATTTAACTCCTACATTGCCCTCATTTTGTGCAGGAGGAGGGGACACTTAATCTTTGTCCTGGGTAATAAACAAAACCTTAACTCTCCTCAGAGCCTCCAAATGGCAAATTCAACATAGATTTGTTAGAGTCACTCCAGCTTAAGACTACTTCCACCGTATTGAGTCCCAAATCATCAGCAGGCCACTGGCCTTTTCTGGTCTGGCCTCGCCTCCTCTCCACTTGTTTTCCTGCCTCTTCTCCATGCTTGTTGGCATGTTTGTGCCCTAGCAATTACTGTTCCTCATAGCTGGAATGCACTCAAGTGGCAAACTCCTATAAATTATTTTAAGACTCAGCCTGATTTCCTCTGCTGTGGCGTCTCCCTGAACCCCAGTCAGTGTCAGATGTCCATTCCTTGGCTCCCTTAGCACTTTGTTCATTATTTTATTAGACCATTTATCACTTACTTGACAGCCTGGATCTACAGTGTTTGAAGAAATAAACTCAAAGCTGACATGCTATTGCTGCTAAACTTTGTGGTTAACCATGAAGAAATGCACCAAGCAGCAGCCCAGCCTGTCTTGTTTTAGCCACACCTTTGAAATGGATGATGACTTGTTTTGAGAGGTCGTGGAAAACGTTCCCTAAATGACAGTCGAGACTCTTTTTGAGTCCATGTCGTTATTTCCCCCTTTTTGCAAAGAATGAATGAGGTTAGCAAGTCATAAGGAATTATGAAATTCCTAAGGGTTTTTTGCTTGAAAATACTTCTGCTAGGTATGTTAAAAGTTTCTTTGATAAAATTCTCCCTCTATTCCTTATAAATTATGCTTTTGTAATATTTGGGGGGAAAAGAAAACATTAAAAAAATGCAATTAAAACGCAGTCTGAACACTCCAGGAAATGCAGTCTCTTTCCAATGTTTTGAGCCCACTGCAGACCCCAGCCAGTCCAGAAGCCCACTGCAGCCCTGCACAGGGAGCCATACCTGGGAACTGCTCCCCATCAGACTCTTCCCGCAGCTGCTCACTCCTTCGGCTCTCTCGGGCCTCCCTCCAGCGCAGCTTCTGGACGGATGGATTTCTAAGGCATTTCCGGATACGGCACTTCTTGCGTTGCACGGTCTCTGGACAGTGTGCACCTCCAAACTGAGGTTCCATTTGGATCATCCGGGTTCGAATCATGTGGCCTTTCCCACATGACTTGTTACATTCTGACCACTGGGACCACTCGGTGAGTTCACAGTCGATGGCTGGCAAGACACAGATGGGCATTAGCATACCTCAGGTCTGAAACAAGATGTAGTCACGCTCTTTTGAACATCTCAGGCTGCAGAATGCTTTTTATAGAAGAAACAGGCTCCAGAAGGCCTCTTGCTCTGTAACATGAATTCCTAAAGTTTTGTCAAGTGAGCCTCAAGTGGCGCAGTCTGGCCTCCTGCAGTGCCCAGGGACCCAGATTTTCTCAGTACAGCCACAGTTTCCTGGTGGTAGTTTTCAGGGCAAGACCAGCAAGCTCCCTGCTACCTCACTGTTGACTCTGGGAGAACAAGTCAGTATGCCCTGTAGACCAATATCAAGGATGTCATGGCTCTCCTTAAGTCCAAGCAGCTTTTGTTCTTGACATTCTGTGACCTATCTATGGTGGTCTGAGCAAAAAATATGGGGACCAGAAATGGAAAATTCAGTAGAGGGTCAGGAACAAGCAATGTTCTATGGTTTGTCATAGTATGAGATCCAGCAAATTAATAGCCAGCACTGCACAAACATGAAATAATACATTGATCTGATTTTTAGGATATATCCTGGCAGGCAAATGAGCCTAAACTCTCCATTGGCTTTGCACTACCAGGGCCAGACTGGATCTAGGAAGTTCTCATTTTGTTCAGTAGTTTTGTCTTTTTTCCCTGTGGGACTCAGGGCAGATTTCTTATCTGCAAAATGGACATGATGGTGGTATTCTCCTTAAATTGTAAAGTTTACATGAAGTAAGGCTCCTAGCCCAGAAAGTGCTCCGAAAGTGTTCATGTTCTCTTCACTTGGCTCTGTGACATAAATAAGGACTTTTAAGCTGCTCATTGTCCCCACTGGAGGGTTCTGGGGCTCTAATCTGGTGAGCTGGGCTGAACAGTAGTTAGTGAATGGTGCAGGTTATCAGCACCCACAGCCAAGTCTAGAAACAGCTCAGGAGCTGAGGACAGATCAGTGAGGCCTGCCCACCAGGCCCAGTGCTCAAGCTTTCTGCCAGTTACTGAGTGACCTTCACAGCAACCTAGGGAGTGTTTCCTGCTGTTTTACAGATGAGGAAACTGCAGAACAGGGATAAGTAATTTGTTGAAGGCTATGCCGCCAGTAAAGGACAGCTGGGTTCTGAAGCAGGCAGGCAGCCTGAGTCTTAAGAGGAAAGACCTAGCTTGAAAGATGGCAAGTATGTTCTAGAGGAAACGAGAAAATAAATCATAGCAAGCAAGCATGCCTGCCCTTTTGCCAACTAAAAGAGCAACTCTCTTCGAAAGACTAGCCAGAAAAACTGGCTCTGTCATAGATTTTGGGGGAGATGGGGTGGTCAGCAAGCTTTTGAGAACTTGGCTTACTTTCTTGAGGTCTTCTCAGCAGGCTGCAGGAGTCAATGACTTAATGTCCAGCCTCTAGTCAAAGGTATGTAAAATGGTCACAGGGAGGAGGAATACAATTCAAACGCTTAGAAAACTCTAAGGTCATACATAGGTCATACAAGCCCATATATGGGGTTGGGGAAATGAGACAGCTGAGGGCTGATTTGTGGTGTTTCGAATAAGGCTGTCATTTAGACTCCATAGCCACCTGCAGTGTGTGTCTTGCAGTTGGTAATGGGATTGACTAAGGAGTTTATGGCAACACAGAGACCCAATCCCCAGGAAACAGTTTTACTACAGGATCTCTAGCAGTCTTATCACAGCCGGAGGCTGGTTCAGAGCTTCCTGGTCTCAGGAACGCATGAGAGAAGGGGTGCGTGTGTTTCCAGGACCCAGGACTTACGGCACTCAGGCAGCATGCACTTCTCCACTTGCTCCAGTTCCTCATTGCAGTCCCCGAGTTCTGCCAGAGACTTGAGCAGCCTCTGGCGGGTCCTCACGCCCTTCCCGCAGGTCACACTGCAGTCACTCCACTCGGACCATGGAGACAGCAAGCATGGGATGGTGTCTAGGTCAAGGCCAGATTTGCCCCTGAGAACAGGCCCCACCGTGCTCCTCCCTCATCCCCTGCTCTAGCCCCTGGAGTAAAGTGAGGGTGAATCCCCTGGAGCAAGATCTCGCATAGCCAGGTGTAGCCCAGGTGGTGGCCATGACCTGATACCAGATGAGGGCAGTAATCTGAGTGCACAAGTTCCCACTTGAAACAGCACTGAACATCTTAGTAGGCTCTTAGGAAAGACAAGCACCCCATGTGCATATTTGAACACTTTGATACTGAAACCCCTTGAATGTGTATGTTGTTCTACCTTTGTGTGCATTTGTTCACAGAGCAGGAGTGGTCCTGGCTTATCCAGAGTAAAAGAGGGTGCACTGGGCATGGGGAATGCGTGTCCTGCCTAAGAGTGGAGATGCTTCCGCGAAACACAGCCGCGGGCCAGTTCTCTCCAGAGGCCATCACCATTTAGAACGCTTTCCAGAGGAGGCCGTGCGTAGCCTCTGACTTGGATGGTGGTGGTAGGCACTGCCCTGGTTCTCCACACTCTTCCCAGGACCCCGGCCCGGTACCCTCCCCGTCGCCCACTCACGGCATTCGGGCATCATGCACTTCTCCGACTGCGAGGTCTCAGCCTTGCACATGGAGCCGTCTGCCGGGCTCATTTTGACCATGCGGTGCCGCTTCCTCGTGCCCAGCCCGCAGGTGGCGCTGCACTCGTCCCACTCGCCCCACTCAGTCATCAGGCAGCTGCTGGGAGCTGAGGAGCCCAGTGGAGTTGGCCTCCGAAGACTTGAAGCGCTGGGTCCCGCCCCACCCCGCCCCGCCCCCCACTCACAGCACTCCTCGTTGACCGTGCACTTCTCGGTTTCCTCGGTGGGCAGCGTGCACACGGAGCCGTCCTCTGGGAACTGCTTCACATACCTCTCCCGGGACCGCATGCCGGTGCCACAGGAGATGCTGCAGGGCGACCAGATGATCCACTCGGACATGGTGCAGGTGGAGCCATCTGCAACACACCACAGGGAGCCACGTTTAGGGCCGTGTGGGAGCCGGACCCCACCTGGAAACTTCCCACCCACACCACTCATGGGCCTTTTGGCAGTGAAGCAGGGATCCCAACATAAATGGCCTAAACCTTCGAAGCAGCCAACTGTTTTCTTAAGAGGAAATGTGCCTTGTCCAGATGCGCAGAGCACTCAACATATTCTACAAAAATACATTAAAGGAAACCTGAATAGTTAGGATATGTGCGTACATCACACACAAATATATATAGTCTATATAATTTAAGATAAATTATGTTTAGCCTACATGAATCATATATCTAGGACTTGCAAATACAAATTCAACTTTTCAGTCACTAATCACTTGTAAGTGCTCAGTAGTGTACCTAGTGGCTACCATATTAGATGGTGCAGAGGCAGAACACTGTCATCACTGCAGAAAGTTCTTTTGGGACAGCGCTGTGAGAAATCTATATTCTGTGAAGTGGTGTATAAGCCATTTTGTTTAGCGGAACCAGAGACTTCAGTTATTGTCTAAAGCTGTGAGTTCCCCAGTCTAGGAAAGTAAGTACAGTGGAAGAGGAAATTTTGTTCCTGAGGATAGAGTGTGGTAGGCCTTGGGACCAGGACTGATCAGTACCCTAAGAGCAGATTATACCAAGGAGCAGGCATGAGGATGGTAACAAGAAGAAAATACCCTTGCTGCTAATTGGAAACAAATGGCCTGGTCTGGTGTGGCATGAGGGAGTTGTGTCTGTGTGCCAGGAGAGAGGAAGGATGATGAAGACACTATAAGCAGCCTTCTGTATATCTTAGGCCATCTATGGGTGTTAGTAAAGGCTGCGATCATGGAGGAGACATTTGGAGATTGTTGGAGGAAAGAAAACTGAACCTTGAGGTTTGACTTGTTGGGCCTGTTGTCAGGGTGGTAGAGAACTGGTGGTGGAAGCATGGCTGTGTGTATATGTTTACCTGTTTTGGCTCTAAAAACAAGAGGAAAATGAAGTCATCTGTCCATCCACCTTTGCATCTGTTTATTCAAGAAAATTTCCTGAATATTTAGTGATATCTTCTGAGGTTACAAAGCTATGTAAGATACAGATCTTGCCCTACTCCAGAGAGTTAGCGCATATGCTAATAATAATAAACTGACAGTGAAATAGGACAAAAGATTCAGGAAGGGAATCAGGCAGCACAGAGCAGGGACAAGTTTCCTCTCAGAGTTCTGGGTAAAATTTCACATTAGAAGGCACACCTTAGTGCACTAAAACAAAGTATATTTGTACTTAGGGTGAAGAGACCAGCTTGTACAAACAGCCGTGTGTGTGTTTTATTGGGAAATGAAGCCAGAACTGAAGTCTGTGCACATGTCCACAGATCGTCACATGTGTGGTGCCCAGACTTTGGTATTTAAACTATGGATGGTGCAGCTAGATGGTGCACTTAGAAGTTTCAGCTGGAAGCCACATGCTAGACCACTGGACCAGGCTGACTAAAGGTAGCGAGTACAACCAAGTTAGATGATTATGTTCTGGTTTGCTACAGTTGGGCAGGGGTGGGATTTGACAGGCCCTAATTCAGGCTTCCCATGGCCTGGCAAGATGTTTCCTTGGTCAGGTGACCATCAACAAGAATGTGCCTTCTGAGGGGAAGTGTTAAAGGCCTCACCCTTCACGCCCCTCCCCCCCAACGGCCTCAGGTGCCTTTACATCTTTTGGTATCAGCAGTGTAATATTGTGTTGCATGTGTGTCAGTGTATCTCTGCCCTGGTTCTTTGTAGGACCACTTCACAAGTTTACTAAGCAGAGAAGTTTGCACATGGGCAATATGGAACCATAAATTTTTCATCTCAGGATTCAGGTGATAAGATTTTCCTTTGCTAAAGATCACTTGAATGTTGCTTTGGGAGAGGGATAAAAGTGGGAAGAGACATCAAGGGTTGGGGTAACAGGCTTGGCCCACATCATTAAGAAACCCAATGAAAATGCAGTTGCTATATGATACAATGAAGTATATGCATCTTATAAAAATCTATTCAGTGTCCAGAGACCTCTGCTTCCTTCCTACTCTAATGACTCCCCAAACAATTTAGTGTGTAAAGGAACTTGATAAGTGTATAAGAGAACTCTATTTAGTTCTGGAAGGGGTAGCTGGAACCCCAGGTACAAGGAACAGGTACCGGCCAGGATGCCTCAGAACTGTTATTTCCCCCTGGAGCCACCTGACTGGTGTGAAGATGGACTCTTCCCTGTGGAGGAGGAGGTTAAAGATCTCGGCTTACATTGTCCATGAGACAGGTCTTCAGCCCCAGAAAGGGGCTTCAATATTGACCGGCCAATCTCTTTTTTCCTATGTTTTTTGGAATGGCCTTTCTATGGTAGGGTTTCTTTCCCCTCAAAATGCCCTATTTTGGGCAAAACCAGTTAGCAATAAAGCATCTGAGAGTGTGGCCTGGAGAGCAGAGGAGCCGGGGGCTGTGTGACCTGTGGTGGGCCAAGTTTTCTTCAGTTATCTGCTACTTGGAAGTGGTTTGCTCCAGGCCTGCCGATGTGTTCTCTTCCTACAACCCCACTGCACCCCCGAGAGGATAGGAGGAAGGGGACTGATCTGTCCAGGCAGGGTCATGCCCTCCTTGGGAGGCAGAGACCTTTGCACTGCAATCAGCTTTGTGCAATCTGGAAGCTGGAACCACCACCACAAAGGTATTGCAAGTGTGTAGTTTAAGCCCGACCTTTGAGCAGGTGCAGATAGATTGAAAATTTCTGCAATCAGCCCGAAGGGCATGACACAAGTGCTGTGACTCAGGCTGAGGTGGAATACCCAGGAAGGGTACAGGGTGACAGAAACAGGGCAATGGACTTAGATATTGTCTTGGCCAACCTGTTCATGGGCTGCTTAAAAAGCAGTTGGAGTTAAGGCCCAGAAGCAGGCTACTATTTCTAATTTGCCATAAGACATCTATGTTTGCTAGCTCTGCAGTTGTGTGTATTTATCCCCTGGCTGGGGAGGGAAGTATGTAGTCAGTTTCAAGAAGTCTTACGTTAGCTGATGTTCCAAGCCCTCGAGATGTTTCAGGAAGGGGTCTCCCCGGGTTTGACCTCGCCAACTGCAGCTAGGGCCCCACTGTCCCGGCCCCCACCCCAGGGTCTCTGCCTGCTTGGATGTAAGGTGCTTGCATTGCTCTCAGATCTTCTTTCCTGAGCTGCTGCGAGCTGCTCTGGGCTGGCTGCTTACCTTCATCACTGCAGCCGGGGCCCATGCAGGGCTGGAAGTCCTGGGTATCTGGGCAGGGGACACTGAGGTCCAGCTGTGCCTTCAGCATGCGCTGCCGCATCCTCTTGCCCTTTTCACAGGTGGAGGAGCTGCAGGCCGACCATGGGGACCAGTTGGAGTAGATGCAGGTTTCAGGGGTGTCATCTGGAACGGGCATGTGACATGTTTTCCTAGGGAGTCAGTAAAGCTGCAACTGGTGCTCTCCCCCAACTGGCGCTCACTTCAGGAGAAGAAAGTCCCACTGCCTGACCAGGCTTCATGAGCCCGAGTGCTCCAGGGATGGGAGCAGCCATTTCCTTCCCTTTCAAAATTACATTTCAGCACCCTACGTGATAGGAATAATTTCTTTACTATCCCTTTCTCTTAACACACGAAGAGCTTTTCATTACAATCCCTGACCTTGGCAAACATTGTTTCCACTCATGCAGGCATTTCATAGGCACTTTTGGAAAGCACAAGACTTTCGTTTTTTGGTGTTGCAACTTAGTCTTTCAGTGACACCCCGCCCCGACAAGTGTCATGGTAAGAGTAAGGAGGGCTGATGTTTGCTGAGCGCCTATTACGTGACAGCACCACTCTAAGAACCTTGTGTGTTCTATCCCATTGATCCACGCAACAGCTTTCTCCGAGGCGGGCTGTGCTGTTATGCCCATGTTACCACTGCTGGTGCTAAAGCTGAAAGGGTCCCAGGGTCACAGGGCTAACGCGAGTTCAAGTTATCTGGCTCCAGATTCCAGGAGCAAAATTAAGTTCAAGCTATGGCTCTGCCATGCCCCTCCTGATTAGAAGCTTGGCCTCTGTCCTTGCTGAGGAGGGGGATTGTGTGCCTGCCTTGGAGGCCAATGCTAGGGTCAAGGCAGAGTGATCTGAATTCCAAGAAGCCCATTCATGCATTTTCACTGCCATTCTAAAGGGCTGACACTGTTCAGTGCACACTCCAATGTCATGCCTTCACCCATTACCTTATAACTCATACCTAATTTTGGCCTCGTTTATCCTTTTTTTGGCTGGCATGGTGGTGTTACTGGGTATTAAACCCAGGGCCTGGTATATGCTAAGCATGTGCACTACTGCTGAGCTCCATATACCCAAGCCTCCTGATTATTTCTAGAGGAGAAATCCTCAGAGCTGGGATTGCCAAGTCAAAAGATAAGACTGTTTATGGTTCTCAAAACATGTGATGGCAAGTGGGATCCTCCGTACCAACCCCCCCCCCCAAAGTGAGCAAATCGTCCTCTCAAAGTGTGCCAATTTCTGTTGCCTCCCACGATGAAGGAGAATAACTTACCTTCATCTTTTTCTTCTGGAGCCAGGTCTGCTACAATATCATCAACATTGTCAGGCACAATATTGCACTGTTCCCCCTGCAAAAGGAATTTTAACTGGAGGGCTCACATTAGAAGGAGAAGGAAATGTGCAGGAGAAAGATGGAGGAGGACGGAAAGTCTAATGCCCACCCTGTGCAAATCCTGTGGAGTTTGGGCCAACATTTACAACCTAACTGAAAAAGAAACATGTGAGAGTAGGGGGATAAGCAGGAATCCTGACCATGAAGACTTTAGTAATTGACAGTGGGATTCACAAAACCTATCCCCCTGGATCAAATCATTCATTTGAGCAGCGGGCCTCACCACTGAGTTCATCTTGCTCATTTCCATTTCAACATGTCATTTGCAAAGTAGAAACACTAGGAGGCCCAGGAATCCCATATCCCAGGGTGCTATCTGCCAGGGATCTTGTGACTGTAGAACAAAAAGGTAAACAGTCTCCTTGGTCCTTTTGATGGGCCAGAACCCAGTACCTTCCGGGCGATTCTCTCGATGACAACTCTGGCTACTTGAGTGATGGACCCGCCCTCTGGGTCGTAGAAAGGACTCTGGGGATGGTCCAGACTGGTCAGGGGCCGGATTTTTTCCTGGGGAATTGTGGGTTTGTTTGGTGACTGCAGGAAAAACAAAGTGGGAAATAAAAACTATAAAGCAATTTGTTATATGGGTCAGGATGAAAATTCCGATAGGAATTTAACAAGGGTAACTATACTTATGGAATTCCATTTATACGATATGCTGTGCTCAGACATGTATAGAGCTACACTTGAAAATTCTTTCCCATACATGGTAAGATTATGCCCCCAAAAATGTGGAGGTCAAGTTTCAGAGAGGGCACCTCCACTCAGAAATGGCTGGGCCAGCTTGGCTTGAATCCACACCTCTTCCTACTGACGTGGTGGCAAACTTTTTTTTTTTTTTTGTAGTGGATCAAATGATATTTTAGGCTTTGTGAGCCTCACTGTGTCACAACTACTCAGCTCGGCCCTTGTAAGAGGGAAAGCAGCCGCAGACAATATACAGTATTTAATTGGGTGAGTGTAGCTAGGTTTGACAACTGTTTATAAATCAGGGTGTAGGTTAGATTTGTCTCCAAAACCATAGTGTGCCAATGTGTGTTCTAGACTCTTCCACTGATTTTTGGATGGTTCCAGATTTTGGTACAGCTGATATATCTAAGAAACAGGACACTCAGGACAAAGTAAAACTCCTTAGCCTTTGGAGTCTGGTCCAGCCCTTATACAAACACACTAGCTTCCTTCTCTCGCCGTCTCTCTGTTCTGTATGTTTACTTCCATGGCCTTGGCATGCTGCCCCCTTGCTGACCTGCAAACGGCTCCTTAGTCGATTCCCTCCCTGTGCTGTCCTGGCCACTGCATGAACACTTCCTAGATCCCAAACCCTACTATATGTGACAATGAGACCAGCAGGTCTCTCCTGACAGACCTCTTCTAGGACAGACTCAGACTCCCCGAACAGGGCTGTGCAGGTGAGGTGCTCTGGAGGCCTGGTGCCGCTCCCCGCTGCAGGCACACACCTACCTCATAGGTCACCCCGCTGTCGGTGCCAGCATCCCAGGGAATCAGGTCTTGCACCACCTTCTGGACCCAGCCACATTCCTTGGTGCAGAGATCCTCCGCAGATAAGCCCACGTTCCAGTCAGGACTCGGGCCCATCATGGTCAGGAAGGACATTAAGTGGCGTGTCCTGTCCACTGAAAATTCAGCTGAGGGTGCTGCTCTCCTGGAAACCAAATACAGAGATCATTACTTTGGGAGACATGGGGGCTGCACATTCTAGAGACATCTGGCCCTCCCACAGCCAGAGGATGAGAGAGAAGGGAGGCAGATTCTTTGGCCATTACTGGTTTATACCCTTCAGTCTTTGAGCCCACAGTTGGGCAGATATGGAGAGAACCCTGTGGTATCATTCCATCCACTTTTAATGTTTCCACAGCACTTACTATTACTTTGATTCTTGCTGATTTATTATTTAGCTGTTTACTGACGTCATCTCTCCCAGGCGTACAAGCTCTGGGAAAGCAGGGGTCTCACCTGTGTCATGCATGGCTTTATACCCCGTGCCTAAAACCCTGGCTGGTAGTGTAGATACTCAGTAAAAGTTTTTGAAAAAATGAACAAGTACTACGTGTTGAGTGTGTCCAGATTTGTTGGCTCTGAGATGAACTTTACCAATAAAAGCTGCTTACTGATGTCCCAAACCTTTAAGTACACATTCTTATTCAATATTTACAATGACCTTGGGTAAGGATTATCGACTCCAATTTATGGGGGAAGAAACAGGCTTGGGAGGCTTATGTAAAGTGCCCAAAGTCACAAAGTTAAGCAGCAGAATGGAGACGATAACCTACGCCATTATTAGTTCAAGGCCAATGTTCTTCCCATCATTAACCTCCGCATTCTACTCCTGCCTCTTTTTCACTCTATCATGCCACTGGACGAGGTCTCCTTCCTGCTGCCTCCATTGTCCTAGAAAGCCTGCCTTTGGCCAGGCCTGGGACCAAGGCACTCTCATCGACTCAGAGCTGGTTCTCTCTCTGGCTGTTTCCTCCAATCAGAAGGCAGGGTCCAGCCACAGAGCCGGGCGGCTTTGGCTGACAACCTCCAGCTGCTGGAAATAATGTCCCAAGTCTACAGCTGCAAGGGGTAACCAGGCTGCCTCGGGTAAACAGCGGCGGCCCACCATAGGGACTGTGAGGAAGAGTCACACTTGGTGGCTGACCCGTGTCATTTCATCTCCCCTTGGGACAGTCCTGTGGGATTCGGATTATCCTGTTTGGAGAGAGGCAATGAAAGAGTATAACTGTTAATGAACTTGGAAACACAGGTTGTAGGGGCGGAGGCTCCCATGACTCTACACCCCCAGGCCGCTAATTATGGGGAATCCTTGGCTGGGGACCAGCGGGTCTTAGTCCAGCTGTTCCATCTCAGCTGCTGGGAGCCCCCTGTGCCTTCTGTTGGGACCAGCTGCTTCTGTCTGCCCCACCTGGCCCTGGAAAGTGATGAGTCCAGACCTGGTGCACTCCATGGAACTAGACGGTTAGGCCTGGACAGCCAGATGGGACTTAACACCATGGGTGTGTCTCGCACCATCTCGTACAGCTCTGTGTTCTTAGGTAAATTTGAAAATCTTTCTGTGCCTCTGTGTCTAAATCTTAAAATAGATATCACATATGTCTACTCCAGAGGGTTACTGAGGGTGTCAAATGAGCTAATGGACTCAGTTTTAGTCCAGGACCTGGCATCTGAGCTGTTATTACTGTTACAGGTTGAACATTCCTAATCTGAATGTCTAAAATGCTTCAAAATCCAAAGCTTTTTGAGCACTGACCTGGTGCGGCAAGTGAAAACTTCCACACCACGAAACTCTCATCTCACACACAAAATTACTTAAAGTTATATTTATATAAAATTATCTTGAGGCTATGTAAATGAGGTATATATGAAGTGCAGGTCCTAAGCATTTTGGATAAGGGTTGCTTGGGCTGTAGAAGCACTGTACGGTGATGTGGAAACCAGAAGGAAGGGACACTGCCTGCGGCCAGTGTAGGGCTTGGAACAGAAATGCAGAAGAGCCTGCCCCAGCCCTGGCTTCAGAACCAGCAGCTCAGCAGGGCCTGGTACTGCCTCCCCTCTCCCCTCTCCTTGCACCCCTCCGTCCCCAAAGGTCCCTGTGTCCAGCCAGGCCAGCCTGAGTACAGGGCCCTGCATGCACATCTGTTGCCAACCGTCTTCAGTGCTTTGGAAAGTGTGGTCCTTGGAGCAGCAGTGGCAGCCAGCACCCCCTGCCCCCAGAAACTTGTTAGCAATGCAGGCTATTGGGCCTCACCCCAGATTTACTGAATCAGAGATGCCAGGAGCCGGTTTTAATAATTTCTGGCTCAACCCTCCCTCATGTGTTACCTCCTCCAGGAGCCTTTGAGCCCTGACAGAGTGTCCTTGGGTTGCGTTTCCATACATCATTCAGCCGTCTATATTCAGACTGTGATTGTCATTGCTTCCTATTGTTCAGTCTCCCCCGCTAGTCTGGGGGCTCCTTGAGGGCAGGGACGCTAAGTTGTACCCCAGTACCTGGTGTGCTGTGGGTCAACTGAACACAGATCCGGGATGACCTGAGCCATAGTCCTTACTCGCTGTAGATCTTGGGCAAGTCACTCACCCATGTTTGAGTCTCAATGTCTTCATCTAATAATAACTGTGTGAGGATCAAATGAGAGGCCTTATGAGGAGGACTTTATAAACTGCTGAGGCATCACCTGACACAGTCTGCTATTTAGTTAAGCACAGATAGGGGATTTGATTTTCTTTTCCCATGTGTGCAGTTTTTGGCATGTAGGTCAGTGGTTTTAGCAGCATCTGAAGAGACCTGGCTTCTACAAGGACTGCCATCTGGGGAGTGGTGGCACTGTTTGCCTAGGGACTCACAGGACGTGGTTTGGGTCGGTCTTGGAGTATCTGCCAAGCGAGAGGACACTGGCATGTGTGTGGCACAGCTTTATGCCCCAGGGACCTTGACCCTTGGGCCCCTGGGGGGTCCAGCAGTCCCTTGGGAAGCAGGCCTCCTCTTCTGTTGTCAGAGACCGAATGATCCACCAATTACATTACCATTTTCCTAAGCATGGGATTTTGGGTCAGGCCAGTCATTCATATTTTGTACCCTATAGCTGACACAATTCACAATGACAATGTAAGAGAACAAAAACACCTCTGCCGAAGAAGCCAGAGCTGTAGAAATCAACTGACTCCATCCCAACACATCATCCTCACCTATGTACAGCTGGTCGATGTAACCATCTGAGAACAAAGCCTGTGAAAGTCATTCTGAACAAATTCATTTGCACCCAATGCTATACCCAAATCTGTAGCCTGAGCGAGGTCCCCTCTAGATCTTGGCCTGTATTTCAAGGGACAGGGAATTTAGAGCAACCAATCCCTGCCTAAAGCAGCCTGGCCCTATGTTGGGTAATATGGTAAATTTGGATCTGTCAGGGCCAGGAGAAAATGTTCAAGCATCTTCACACATACCTTGTTCCTTTCTCTCATCTTTGACTGGAACATTTCTCCCTGACCCCCAGCTTACGTACCACTCCTGGGGAAGACATCTCTGACTTCTACAAATTTCTTGGAGCCTCTTTTTCATCTTACCATAGCCTACTGAGTCCACCCTTTCATGGGAATTTCTTGTTTAAAATCTGTCCCCCCTTAGTGCCCAATTGATTAGGGACTGGTTTTGTCTTGACTACAGCTATATCCCCTGCTTGGCTTAGAGTTTGGCACACAGTACCTATTCTTCAAATATTTGTTGAAATAAATGAATTAATCTTGGAAATGAATGTGGAGTTCTTGTACTTTCCTTGACCTTCAAATTTAATTAAAATCACTTTAAAGTATTTGTTACTTCTATTATAAAATGGTTATTTAAAATAATGAAATGGAAAGAATGTATGTAAGTTTTCTTTAGGAAATGCTAGATCAGACTGGAGTTCTTCAATTTGTTCAAGCCATAATAAAAGTTATTATTCCTATATGTCATGTCTTCTAAGATATGGCATTTTGCTAATTTGATTTCATTTTTCTATCTAGGATTTAAATTTGAATCAGTTTTCTAGCAAAGGAAATTGATCTAGTCATATCATAAACCAGCATATAGATAAAGAATAGTAATCAAAAAAGTATAATATTCAAAGTAAAATAGAAATATAAGCCAGTGGGCAGAAATTGGAGATTCTACAAGTACAGAGAAAGACTTAGATAAAACAGGCTACTCAAATTAGGGAGAAAGGAAAGATTATGTAACAAGTGGGTTTATGAAAAAACAGGATTCACATCTAATATCATATGGCAAATGAGAATAATTAATAACAAATCTAGAGTGAAATAGAAAACAGCCAGATCATAGAAAAAAATCAAAATTAAAAAAAATCTGTCAGAGAAATAATTTTCTCAGCTTTTAAATAATAAAAGCAATCAAAAGAAAAAATTAACCAATAGAATTATGTATTAGTTAAAAATATCTGCATAATGAAAACAGTACATGTTTAATATCCTTAATCTCATAATCTGAAGTGCTCCAAACCTGGAAACTTTCTGAGCACCAACATGACACCACAAATGGAAAATTACACACCTGACCTCACGAGATGGGTCAGTCAAAATGCAAGTGTACCAGAGATATCGCAGAAAATTGCCTTCACATCATGGGTATAAAGTGTATATATTATGCACAGGAATTCTGTGTTTAGACGTGGGTCCTGTCTTTCCCCCAAGAAATCTCATTATGGATATGCAAATATTCCAACCAAAAACATCTGAAATCCCAGACACCTCTCTCTGCTTCCAAGCACTTCGGGTAATAGATGCACAACCTGTACCTGAATTGTAGAGAAGTGACGTGGTGACGAATGTCATCATCAAGCGTAACTGATGAAGTGTTAATACGTATTCAGAAATAATCTAAACCAGTAAGAAAAAGACCACAGTCCCAACAAAGGAAGGCTATGAACAAGGTCCATGTCAGGAAAATGAAAAGTAAAGGAGAACATGGAGAAATGTTTCCTCCTTTCATATTCCAAGGGGCAGTAAGGCGTTCATAAAGAACCCGGGGTGTTGGACCAGACAGCTGCTGGATTTGAATCTTGGCTCTGTCATCACTTATCAGCTCTGGAACAGGGGCTTTTACCTCACCTTTTGTTGTAGATACTACATCTGCAAAATGTGCACATTACCATACCTACCCCAAGGTTTTATTGTGAGGAAATCGTTTGTTAGTATGACCAACACAAACTAGGCTTTTTCTTCTTATGCAACTTTTCCAAAAAGAACTTCCAACAGCACCACGAAATAAAAGAGGGAAGAGATGGTTTTTTATGTTTCCTCTAGAGATTTAGTCTCCCGTCCAAAGTTACAGATCCACACCAGTGAGACTTGGATAAGAGTTTTCTAAACCATTCATTGGCGGCATTCTGTCTCACGTATTCCAACACAGGAATCCCCGTTTCGCACTTGCAGAAACTCAACTCAGTCACGAGAGGGGGCTCAAGCCATTCATTAGGCTTAAGTACAGCCGAATGCAGACAGGTTTGAGCGAGGCTCTCGAAACCCTGAAAACTGACCAAGAGGCAAACATGGACCACCGTGGAATCAAATGTTAGCTCAGGCTCGTGGCTGGGAACAATTTAAGGGGACTACAGCCCTTTCCAGGAGTCATTGTAAGAAAGGGAATAAGTAATTCTTAGCATTCCGACCACACCACAGGAACTGGGTGATGGAAATTCAGAACTGATTTGCAGGAAACCCGGGAATTTTCCACTTAGGTGCCAGAGGAACTAGCGAAGGACACAAGTTTTGCTCAGAATCTGTCTTTTCTGTCTCAACCTGAGCATTGGGTTGTGGGAGCTGCAGCTTGATTTATTGAACCAAACAAGTCAGCCACTGATATGTTCATTCACGGCTGTCCTTTGAGAAGTGGTGCTGGGGATAAAGATGAAGATCATTGAAAAACAAGTCAGTTTCAACGGGCAGGACCTTGCAAAGTAGGTCACCCCAGCTTTCCACTGGGCCGAGGGAGGCTGGAATCCCATTAACCTCAACTGAGCAGGCTCAGGGAGGAGGGGGAGGGCTGCTCTGCAAAACAAAACTTGGCTTCGGGTAGGCTTCCTAATTTGACTTCCTAATGAGATTTGGAAGAGGAAAGGGGAGCCTAGGCTATGGGAAAAATCAAAGGAAAATTCCTTTCCCTTAACAAGCTGGTGGCACGGAGTGGAGTGGTCTCGGGTGTTTGGGAGGTCTGAATGTTTGCCACCAAGTAATTTTCTTCTGCTAAGGTCACAGAAAGTCTGAGGGTTGGGTGAAGTGTGCGAAGGTATTCCAAAATACTGCTTTCAATTTTTCCGGAAGTCTTTTCCACCTTGAAAAAAGGAGACAGGTAAAAAAAAAAGTGCCATTGATTTTTATCTGCTTGGAGCTACAGCCCAGTCTTCCGGTGCAAACTGCACGCCTGACTCCGTAACCCCAGTTCACATTCCACCTGCTACACTCACTGTCTCCCATCCCTTAGCAGAACATGTTCTCAATAAGGTCACATGTGACCTGCCTGTCCAGAAATCCAAGGAGCGTTTTGTAGTTCTGTCTCACTTGATCTCCAAGCTGGATGGGGCTCAGCTGATGACTCTCCTTGAATACTCTTCCCTTGGCTTCTGGGTACCAACTTCCTTTTGGATCTCTTTGCTGTTCCTTTTGCACACCAAGTCTTCCTCAGCACAAAATGTTGGAGCTCTGGGACTCAGCCCTAAGTCCTTGACTCATAAGCTCTCTCTCCTCTGTGACTTTGGCCGTGGTTGTCTCCCATTCCTCCGTGACGCTCAATTATATAAGTGGTATCTTGGTTCATTAACTTGATTCTTTCCATGATTCTGGTTGAACACTGAGTTGGATGAGAACTGAATCAAATTCAATGGTTAGGTTCAACGTTGACCTTGCGAGGAAATTTGATTTGGTTCTCATCCAGTTTGGTTTGTGACCAGAATCATGGAAAGCATTGTGTTTGTGAAGTGAGGTACCACTGTAAATCAGCACAAAATTCTTGCCCTGAAACTCAGAGCTATATAGCTAACTGGGTACTTAACACATCTATCTGGATATTTTGGGGAGTGGTAACTTAGGATTGAACCCAGGGCCTTTGCAGTGAACTATATCCACAGCCATTTTTATTTTTAAAAATTTGAGAGAAGGTATTAAGGTCAACCAGCTGGGGGTCAAACTTGCAATCCTGTTTAGGCCTTCCAGAGTGCTGAGATTACAGGCATGCACCACCCTGCCCTGCTTTCCATCTGGACACCTTGAAGATATCTTAACAACATAATGCTCAGAACCGATCTCATGGGTATCCCCACTGAACTTCATCGAATATTCCCAGTCTTAGGGGTGGCACCATCAATTCCTTGTTTAGGCCAGCTGCACACCGAGGAAGCATCTGACTGCCCTGTTTCCCTCGCCCTCTCTAAACCTGTCACGGCAGCCGGGTGGCATTGCCTCCTAAAGGCACCGCTCACATCCGTGCAGCACCCCCCTCACCCCAGTCCCCACCAGTCCTCCCCAACCCTGCTCCCTGCATCTGCCTCCTCTCTGGTCTCACCTCATCTACCTTTTCACATTGGAGCCACAGTGTTATTGTTTTCTAAATGCAAATCTGATCATATCATCCTTCTGCTTAAAATGCTTCAATGATTTCCCATTCCTTTTAATGGAAAAATCAAAAGTTTTAATGTTGCCTGGCTTGGTCCCACACCAAGCTCCTCTTTGATTTCTGGATCCAGTTACAACCACAGCCTTTTTGTACCTTCTCTTTCCCCTTCATATAGGGCCTTTGGACACAACAGTCTCTCTGGGTTTTTGAGACTATTCTCCCTTTGTTTGGTTCTTTAGTCAGCTCCTGATTCCGTAGATCTTGACCCCATTCCCATTTCCTCAAAGATCTCAGCTCTGACTCTACTCCCCCCTAGCTGGCTTGGGGTCCCCTCCCACACTGTCCTGGCATCCCATGCCTTTCCTTCACAGCCATGTCACATTTATTTGCATGACCAATGAATAAACACCTCCTCTTGGGGCCTGGAAACCAGGAGAAACCAGAAAGAGACCTGTGGAATCTGAGCAAATAGATTTTGGGTGACCTGACTGCTAACTGATGTCAATTATGCCAAAGGAGCCAAAGGTGAGTTTGCAGTCCTTTCTGTTGGGGTGGAGATGAGACAGCAAATGCTCACATACCAGGAAAGCGCTATCTGCCATTGCTTCTCGCGGAGGGGAGGGGCAGGTGCTGCCAGGGCTGCAGGTTTTCTGCTGGCCCCTGGTGTGAGCTTCCTCAGAGAGGATCCAGAGCAAATCTTGGAGATCACAGCTGGGCTGCCTTCGCTCAGGTATCCAAGGGTGAGCTCTCCTTCTCTCCTCAGGCCCCCTAGCCTGGGCCAGTCCTGATCAGCAAGGAGCGTTCTTCCAGCCCAATGTGCACTCCTGCACAAAGCCTTCACTGACCTCTCCCCACCCATGCTTATGCCCCTGGAGTGCATGGGGCTACCATGATGACACTGTGTGTTGTGTACTCTGTGTATACGGTGCCTCCTGGATTTATGCAAAAGGCAGACCTGGAGCGAGGGAACTCTGTTTATTTTCTGTTTCCTCTCTTGAATCCAGACCACAGGGACTGTGTATAGGGCTGGCACATGGTAGCTGTGTACAGAGCTGTTAGTTTGTTGAATGGGTAAGTGGGCAGGCACCAGGTGCCTGGCAACAGTTTTCCAGTTCCAGCTGGTCACGTGCGAGTGCTCCTTCTCCTGGGCTCTTGCTGCCACACTCTGGGGAGTCTTCCTTTTAATGTCCTGTGATTTTTTCTATCATTTTGTCTTTGCCTTTTCTCCAGCTGAGCAGGATCTCATGCATTCCCCATGTTGTTGCTGTCTCCGTCAATTTCATTGTTAATGGATGCAGACCTCTCCACAGAGGGGCTAGCCAAGCCACTTTTCATAAACCATTTCCCTTAAAAGATAAGTGGAAATCAAAGATTGTTCAAGGAACTGCACAGGTTTCAGGGTGGTCAGAGTGATGTGCAGAATGGGGAGCCAAGGAAATGAGCCAAGGAAAAGGATGCAGGAGCTAAATTGTGTTCATGTTCACTATGACCTGTCAACCCCACCTAAGGGCTATGGACTGGGTCCTGGAGGCTAAGGGTAACAGATGGACTCTAAGAAGAGGAGGAAACAATAGGTTCAGATTTTTAAAAATCATTCTGGTAACAATATGGGTGAGGAATTGGACTGGGGGAGACTATAGAAGAAGGAAGAGACGGAGTACTCCAGGCATGAAAAAATAGTGGAGGTTTGAACTAATGGCAGGAGAACGGGCAGACAAGGACTAGTTTATGAGCTAAGAAGGCAGAATCAACAGGACTTGGGCACTCACTGTACTTTTGAAGTTTCTCCACATGGAAAAGAACAGGTTTGTGGGAAGGTGATGGGTTCCATTTTGGATATAGTGAGTTAAAACACATGTGGGCCATCCATGGAGAAATGTCCAAGAAACTGATGGATGTATCACTCTCCATCCATCCATCCATCCATCCCTTCATCCATCCAGGGGAATGGTAGTTTGGGAACCATTAGCATGCCTCTGGTCAACAATTCCAGGGTAATGAAGTCTCCAAAGGATAGAGCATGCTGAAAAGAGATCTGGACTGAGAATGGGGTTCAGGGTAAGTCCAGCTTTCCATGAGTCATACTCACTTAGAGGGTGTACACCTGTATGCTCTGAGGGCAAATGTATGTTTGATCTGTTGTGCTGAGGGCATGAATGAAGACCATTGGAAGAATCCAACCATGCCCATATTCTTGAGGCATGCATGACACTTCACACAGGAGCTGCATCTTACCTGCTGGTTCACCTGAGCGATATTACTGACTTTAATAACATAAATAGTATGTGGTAGCCATTAGGTAGGCAGCTACCAGTACAAGGCGAGGATGGGACAGGGAAGGGCCAGGGGCTGTTTGCTACTTACACGTTGAGAGGCTGCCAGGCTGGCCACTGGGCTTTGGCTTTGATGACAGTGAGGACCTCATCACTCTGCAAAAAAGAATCACAAATGTCTAGTGAACAGAAGGCTCACAGGAATAAGAGGGATTTGACAGTGACACTGCCAACCACCACTCTTTTACCTGCTGTCAAGATTCTACCTGCCCAGGTGTGCACCCATCTTGCCCCATGATGGGGAAACCTAGGAGTCTCAGCAGCACCAGGAGGTGGCAGTCAGTGTCCAGTATGCCTGGTTGGCCCAGACACTGATGAGCCCACTGAGCCACACATTTGCCCTCCCCTACTGGAACCAGAGCTCCAACTTGGACTTCTCCTTGGTGGCCAGACTTCCACATTGCATTCAGCCTGCAGGGCCAAATCATGTGTCTGTGTCCAGACCCTGAGTGGGGCCTGCTCCAAGCCAGCGGGGTCAGCAGGCAGCACAATGCGGCCAAGACTTTAACCCAAGTACTGTTCCCCCCTGGCCTCCCCTGCTGCTGAGACCCTGTCCCTTGGACACTAAGCCAGAGCTCCACACCCCTTGTCATACTTATGAGATTCTGTTCTATTTTGCTTTGGACAGTGTGTAGAGCGCTACTGAAGCATGGGGAACCTAAAATAATTTTTACAGGAATAATTTGATAATTGACATTTTGAAAGGAAGCAGTCAGTAGTCATTATGGAGTAAAAATTGGAACTTCACTGATCTCACTTAGCTTTACTTTGAGGTTTAGTTGGGTGTTTACTTTTAGTTTCACCCTACGCTTCACCTGTGTCATGGCCATGAGGTTTAAGGCCTGCACAAGTCCAAATTCAACTTTGGGTCGGGCTTTCCCCAGAGTGGACTTGGCTGGCCCGAGATGTCTCCTTCCCCTGCCCGGGCTCAGCAGTGCTCAGACACCATGGTCCATTATGCACAGAAGACTCCAGAATGTCACCAGCTGGGGAATGAAGAGCTTTTGTGCCAACTGAACAGATCCCCGAGTTCCAGGGGGGCAGAGATTGCTTGGCTGGCTCACAGCTACACCCCAGTCCTCAGAGCTGTGCCTGGCAGTAGGTAACTAGAACATATTTGGGATGAATTGGTGAACTTCCCTTTGGTTACATAACTTGTCTAGAAAACCTCACAGCCCTGAGGAAACTGGGAGGAAGGAGGCTAGAGGTGTCTTCCAGACTCTGGCCCAAGGATGATAAAAGGCCTTCTCAGTCCAGAGTGTCTTTTCCGTCACCAGGGAGGGGGTCACCGGGTGTTGAGCCTCTGAAACGAAGGGGCTGGCCAGAACCAGCATGGCGGGGGCTGAACAGATGGTCCTGGGGGAGGTGGAGGACAGGAGCAAGGTCGAAGGACAAGTCAGCAGCGTTCACAGCCTCTTTCTGGGTGCAGGGTCCCTGGGATGCCATTTTTGGTCAGAGGAAAGAATCTTCAGATACGCAGACACCCCCACATCCACAGGTCTGCAGGAAAAGCATTTCCCAGCCCCACCTGACTGATTACATTTCTCAAGGAAGATTTATTTATTTACGGTGCATCCCTCCTAATAAATACGTGGTGACTAACTGGGAGAAGCTCTTTACCACAAAGGCATAGGTGGAACCGGGGCTATTTCCCGAATGCCAGCTCCGTCTCTCCTGTTCCCTCCATGTGCCGCGCAGAGCCCTTCCTCTGACCCTGGAGCCCTGGTCCCCTCCAGAGAGCCGTCAGGTCTCCAGGTACTTCCACCAGCTGCTTGAGCGGACTCCGAGCTTCCTCCAGCTCCACCCCTCACACCAGCTGGGCTCCAAGGCCTTCTGTGGTCAAGTCCGTAACTCCATGCCCATTTCCTCTGCATCAATGGCTCCCACAGCTTCACATCTCACTTCCTGTGTTTTGCCTGCCCTCATCCTCTGGCCCTGGTCTACTTCGTCTTTCCTTTGATTTTCACTTGCAGAGTAATATATACACTTACTGTGCAAAACTTGAGCATCACAGAAACACACAATGTAGATGTTGAGCACGTTCTACTTCAACACTACCCTGCCTTCTGTCTTACTCTCCTCCTCCAGAATATTTCAGTTGGATGTGGCCCTTCCTAGACCCTTTATTATGAAACACAATTATGTGTGCATACATTATCCATAGCTTTCTCACAAAAATCACACCATACTGTATATCCTGTTTTGTGCCATGACTTTAACAATTTTCCACTATGACTTTAGCAATACCATACAGAAATACTTTAGTGCTCTACCATGGGGGAGGTTTTCCATGAGTGTGTACTACAGACTACATACAGTAATCACTAGACAGCACGACCCTCCTCCTTTTGGATTTTTAAAGTGTTGCAGACCTGCAAAATTATGGCAAGCCAGGTCAAGACATGACAGTGAAATCCCAGATATGAGATATAAGTGATGAGATACTGTCCCTTGACAATCCTTTGCCCTTGAAGAAATGCCTCACTAAAAAATAAAATCAGTGTGGGTGGGGTTAAGGTGGCCACGGAGTTGGCTGGCCCTGCACATTCACTGTGCTTTACAATTAAACCTTGGTTCTCGGGTCCTGGCTAATGACAGGTTGATTTTGCTTTTGCAGCAAATAACTCAATAACGATATTTTGGTCCTTCCATTAGTGTTTATTTATGATGATAAAATTCTGTTTGTCTATTTCAGTTCTATGGAGGCTCCGAGGATGCTGAATCCAATATGTGTGGGTATTACAGCTTCTTGCTGTAAATCATTTTGTCCAGGGATTACACAACATCTGTCTTATCCACAGCTTGTTCCTTTTTGTGATCATACATGACAGTCAATGAAATGACAAAATGAAATATTTTTGTTGAAGCATCAAAATTCTGATATAAAGTTCTATAGGAATGGAGAGGCTGGGCATGGTGATGTGTGCTTGTAGTACCAGCTCTTGAGAGGCTGAGGCAGGAGAATTGCTGTGAGTTCAAGGCCAGCCTGAAATATGTAACAAGATCCTGTCTTCAAAAAAATAAAATGGAGAGCTGGCTTAATTATTGGCTATATCCAAATACTCAACAGTGCACAGTTAATCGTCCAAAGGCAAAACACGTCATTCTTTTTGACATACAGAGTTCCAGAACATGGGTGCACTCTATTTAACTAGCATTATTAGGGATATTTAATTGTTTCCATGAATGAGGCTGATGAAGACTTATGTAAATATTTCTTTGTTCGCACATGCAAGGGTTCGTGTGACCTTGATTCCTAGGAATAATCAAAAGTGAATAAATTTTAAATTGTGGAGGGGCCAACTAAATTGCCCTCCAAATGTTTCTATCAGAGTATACTCCCAGCGAGAATGTACATGGGCTCAGGTCCTTCTGGGTTGGATACAGTGGATACTGTCCACCCTGTAATATTCATGAATCCAGCAGGCAGGAAAGCAGTGTATCTGAGAGAACAGGCTAACTGTAGGATCACACCCAAGTTCAAATCCCTACTCCACCATTTACTAGCTGTTTGTGTCCTTTGGCAAATCTCAGCCTCTCTTAGTTCTCTCATCTGTGAAATGGGCTTAAAAAGAAATCTACCCCATGCAGTTGTCAGGGGGGACAAAGTGACAGTTTATGTAATGCGCCAGTGCTGTGCCTGGTACATATAGCAAGTGCCGTAAACATCAGCCATCACTTTTTTCTTTTGGTTTTTTGAGACAAGGTCTCTCTGTATAATGAGGCTGGCCTTGAACTCATGGTGATCCTCCTGCCTCAGCCTCCCTGGTGCTGGGATTACAGGCGTGTGCCATCAAGTCTGGCATCATTCTTATTCCAGCGTACATTTGGACCGTGGTGGCATCAGAATCCATTTTCGCTGTTTGAGTACAGGGAGCCAGGCTTTCGGTTGCAGCTGCAGACCCTCCCAGCCGCAGGAGAACATCCTCCCATCTGCAGGCCACTCCGGTGGCTGCATCTGAGGGGAGGCTCACGTAGCTGGGAGCCTTGGATGGGGCCGCTGGAGCGCTGGGCAGGTCACTTTCGGAAGAATGAAGGACTTAAATTCCAAGTAAGCAATTCACATGTCAGACTTAAATGAAAAGCTTGTGCTAATAAGTCTTGAAGGCAGACAGGATCTTTCAAGGATCCTTAGAGCCCTTTTACATCTCCCATAGGAAACTTTTCAAACAAGTATTTCAAGGCAGTCATAGTTCACGGTGTATTTGGATGACGTTAACACTTTTCCAAAGATACGCCAATTAACACTGAAACTCCCAAAGAAACAACAGGTCACGGTCTTCCTTTCATTTTGCTTTTGGTTAAGGCTGAAAGCTGTAACAGCTGTACTGCAGCGCTAGGCTCCCAGTGCCAAACGGGAATAGCACAACCCCAAACAGGCTGGGGGCTGAAGTCAGGTCTGGAGAGAGGAGGGTTCACGTGGAGTGACAGCAGGCCTGGGACAGGCTGGAGGCAGAAATGACATCAGTGTCAGGAGATGCAGAGCAGAGGGCTGAGGTGGTGAATGTGTTCTGGGAGTCTGAGGCAGGAGGATGTGGCAAGTTCAAGCCTCACCTGGGAAAATTAGCAAGGCTCTGTCTCAAAATAAAAAATAAACAAGGCAGGGGACGTAGTTCATTGTGAAGACCCTGAGTTCAATCCCCAGTATTAAAAAAAGTGTGAATCTGGGGTCGGAGTAGGAGCCTCCTGTGGTCTCCTGAGCCAGCACCCAATGGGCAGAGCTCCGGGCATCTCAGCCAGGCCCGCAGGCAGAGACGCTGGCTGGAGTCTGTGCTTTCCATCCTGCCTGGCTCCTCCTCTGTTCCTATGTCTTCCTGGCTCCTGATCTTTTGACTCCACCCCCGAGTCATGAACCACAAGCTCTCCGCACATTTTAGGTGGCACTGAGGCTCAGCTCCCTAGATGCGCAGTCTTTGAGGGAGCGTGGTCAGCTTGCCCGGTGTCCCTTTATGCACCCCCCACCAGTGGGACAGCAGTCTGTGATCGGAGAGGCAGAAGAATAGAAATGAATAGGAATATGATAACAATTGTTATTTCCCATTTGTTCTGCTCCAGGCGTCTTGCTGACAACCTATATATGTTCCTGTATATATTCT